GCAGGGGAGGGAGGACGAAGGAAAGGCGGCGGCACGCCAGGGCAGCCTGGGACAAACTTGGAAGCAATAAAACTAAACGTAACCCCTATATAATTTAATAGTTTCGTGTCAAATCGCAGCCCCAGCGAACCCCTGAAAAAACAGCCAACTTCCACGCGAGGGGGGGAGAGAAAGCCCCTCGGAAGCCATTTCAGACCGAGGGGAAAACACCCTTCTTTCTTTTCCCCGGCACCTACAGACGCGATCGAAGTGGGAAGGTGCAGGCGTGAAGCAGCATTTATGGCAGGCTTTGCAATTCGCTTTTGTTCATTTCCTTCTAAATCTGCTGTTAACATGGCAGCTCGGAAAGCCCACAGCTTTTCTTCTGGTGCAAACCCAGCACAAAGGTTTCCCCCCAGCTCTGGCGGACTCGGTTCTGGTTCTGGCTCCCGTTTTAGTTTTCTTTTTTACCCCTCCAGCTCCTGCCCCCGTGCGCGGGTCCGAACCGGGCGGCTAAAAGGGGGAGCAGCAAACAGACGGGAAAGAAAGCCGGGCACACGGAAGGTGTCCGGGCACCTTTACTCCACGCCATCCACCGCCCCAGTCCTGGGGCTTGGATTTCACTGGCACAATTCAAAGCAAAACACAAGTCTAGCCACGGGCCCCCTGCTCTCCCCCAGCTCCACTGCTACCTATCTCTTCAAAGCGAAGTGAACCCCGACTAATGGTCGTTTCAGCAGCAAAAACCGCTTCCTGAGAAGCCACTTGAAATAAAACGCGGCTCCTCCGCTTTGTCCTTCCAGGGACGGGAATATTTGGAGACTCCCAAAAAGGTGCTTCTAAGCCCCAGCTCCTAGCACGGAGACAAAATACCCGACTAACTGCGCTGGGACAGATGAGTCGATTCGTTCAAGTATTTTTTTTGTACCTGCGGGGGACAAAAGCAAACTTTTCAACGCCCCCTCCCAAAAATATATGTGTCTGTAGAGAAGAAGCCAGGTTCTATCCTTCCAGGGAGCAAGCTCTCGTGACAGCCGTTATTTCACCATTAAACGGACTTGCCTTGACTGCTTGGCAGCTCTTTTCTACATGGTAGCGACGGAAATAAATACACCAGGAGAAACTTAAAATCAAACGAGAGGGGCTTTTTTCTCCCCCCTGCACGTGGCCATATTCGCTGCGTAGGTAGAGGCAGAATTTAGCCAAATCCGTGATTTATTTTTTTTAACCTAGCAAGGGGCTGCCCTTCCTATTTACGAAAAACCAAAAAACACAAGTCGGGAGGCACGAAATGTGGAAGCAATCAGATCCACTTGGAAAAACCTCTTCCATGTCGCTGGCCGCAATCGCGTGGAAGGCAGACCTGGTTTTACTGAGCGGCATGGGTGCTCCGGGCACGCCTGTGAACGCGCACATCTTCCCCATCGCCAGGCACGAAACGAGCCCGACAACCCTTTCGGGACCCCGAGTCCTCGTCGGCCCCTGGCCGCCCTGCGCCGGGGCTCGTGGCCGCGGCTCCCGCCTCCCGGGAGCCGAGGGGCCGCGCGGTTCATCCCCGCCGGACCG